GAAAGGATTCCCAGTTATCATATTACACACTGAAAGGAGATGGAAAAAAAATTCATGTTATTGTGAAATACAAAGTGACCTTAAAATAGGAACTACCAAGTAACTAGATAACATAAAACTAAACTGGCAGATAAAATATATTATGAACGTTGTTAGTTCTCTTGCCTTCAGTTGATTTTTCTATTGGTGATATTTTATGCCATAATCAGAATGGAAAACCAATATATCGTAGAAATGGCTTATTTGAACATGACTCCGTTCAGACTAAGGTAAATATCCAAATGGGAGGATAAATCAGGATAAAAGCTCTTGTAAACTTAAGTGTGTAGGAGCATTTTGTGCCCCATTTTTTTATCTAGTGATTTTACATTGAGATTTGTGTTAGCATGTGATACACTTCAATGTACAAATCTCAAAGATAGTCTTTATGTGTAGCACAAATCTCAAAGCATAAGAAAGAGAGAAAAAAAAATTGGTGGACAAGTGCTCCTGTCCATTTAAGTATATTCTAGCTTCAATTGGGTCATATATCTTCTAGCTATCCATGCAAAGTCGCAACGTGTTATTTTGTGGAGAAATATTAAGGAAGAGCGAGAACAGGATCCTGAAATCCAAAAAATTTGGAAGGTAAACGAAGGAAAGTCTGAATTTACCACGAGCTCAGAAGAACTTTTAAAATTTCAAGGAAAAATATGCGTACCCAATAATCTTGAGCTGAAGAAAGAAATTCTATAAGAAGCACGTCGTTCTGAGTATAAAATTCATCCTGGAGAAACTAAAATGTATCATGATTTAAAGCAGCTATACTGGTAAAGTGGCATGAAAAAAGATATCGCACAATTTGTGGCTAAGTGTTTAACCTGCCAAGTAGTCAAGCGAGAACATCAACAACCAACGGATTTACTGCAACCATTGCCTATACCAGAATGGAAATGGGAACATATTATAATAGACTTTGTGTCTGATCTACCAAGATCACCTAAAGGACATGATACAATCTGGGTAATAGTAGACCGGCTCACTAAATCTGCACATTTTCTCCCTATAAACAAGATGGATCATCGTGAGAAACTAGCTCAGCTGTATATTGATGAGGTAGTAAGACTCCATGGGACCCCTATAAGTATAGTATTTCATTGAGATCCGATATTTGTATCTCGATTTTGGCAACTACAAATGACTCTAGACACTAGACTCAGCTTCAGTACGATTGGACATCCTCAAACAGATGGACAATCAAAAAGAACAATACAAATATTAGAAGACATGTTAAGGGACTGTGTACTTGATTTTGGTAGAAATTGGGAGAAACATTTTACACTTGCAGAATATGCTTATAATAATAGTTATCAAGCCACTATTGGAATGACGCCTTTTGAAGCACTGTATGGTCGAAGGTGCAAATCGCATGAAGTCGGTGAGCAGAAAACTTTACAACCAAACATTATCCCTATGTTGGAAGAAGCAATTAATAATGCTCGTAAAATTAGACAAAAAATGTTGACAGCTCAAAGCAAGCAAAAAAAATTATGCAGATAAGCGAAGGAGGGATTTAGAATTCCAAGTGGGTGACAAAGTATTCTTAAAAGTATCATCGCGAAAGAGTATAATCAAACACGGAAAGGGTGGAAAGCTCAGTCCAAGGTACGTCGGGCCGTTTGAAATTTTGGAGAAAATAGTAAAAGTGGCCTATCGACTTGCTTTACCACCTAGTTTAAGTGGGATACATGGCGTAATCCATGTTTCACTTCTAAAAAAATATCATCTAGACTCATCTCATGTGCTCGACTACAAGCCTTTGAAATTAAGTGCCGATCTATCCTATGAAGAAAGACCGATAATAATCTTAGATTGTAAGCCACAAGAATTGAGAAACAGAAGCATTTCGCTTGTTAAAGTTTTATGGAGTCATCACGGAATAGAAGAAACAACTCGGGAAAGAGAAGAAAATATGTGACAAAAGTATGCATTTCTATTTACTAGCCTAGGTAAATTTTCGAGGACGAAATTTTCATAAGGTAGATTGTAACACCACATCTAATTATTCTCCATAAAATAGCATGTTGCGACTTTGCATCATATGCTAGAAGACATATGACCCAAATTAATACCGCAAGAAGTTTTTTTTATTATAGCCATTATTATTATACGATAATCTAATATATATCTACAAATAAGGTTCCTTTTGTTAAAAAAAGAGAAGAGGATGATGCAATTCAAACTATCTAGAGGATTGAATGCTTAGCTCACCCAAGTAAATTTTTTTTACCATGAGGTGTCCAGATGAATCATCATAAGGAATTATGATGGCCATAAGGTGTCCAGGTTGAATCATCATAAGAAATTATGATGACTATGAGATGTCCAGGTGAATCATCATAAAGAATTATGATGACCATGAGGTGTCCAGGTGAATCATCATAAGGAATTATGATGACCATGAGGTGTCCAAGGTGAATCAACATGATAAGGATAAAAAAATATAAAACCAACCAAAACCATGACTATATATAGGTGTCTCGGTTGGGCTAACTACACCAAACAAAAAAAAAGAAAAAAAGGGTATATACATATAGAAGTGAAGATCTAGTAAAGTAGGTACAAGAATTACAAAGAGGGTGAGGTTATCCAATATATTACGGTTATGAAATATGCAATGTTTTCCTTCCTTTCATTTCTTTTGTCATTGATTTGTTATAATGATAGTTGAGCAAGCTCCTCTATTACACATTGTCCTCCTTTAGTGCTTGTCCTTAATTCTTCTTATCTATAAGATAATGGTCAAGTGAGATTATCTAGTATAATATACTTTCTATGCAAAAGTTGTTTTCTCTTGTAGTTATTTGGTAATTGTACGTTATATTTTTTAATGCACGTTTTTCTGTTGAAACATGCTCATGCTTCAAACTTTTTGAATCAGACATTGTAATTTACTCCTAAGAATAATCATTCTATTGGTTTCACTTAGATATGAGGAACTAATGTAACAAGTCTTTGACCTTAAATGGATTTTTATCCACTTAGTTTATGCAAACTATATATACAATTTTTGGCATTTCCTAAAGCTTAACCGCATGCCCACATTTTTTGATTTGGTTCGATATATAAAATTTAATATGATCATATTTTTAATCTTATGAACCTATCATTTCAATATTACCTTATTCTCCTCTACGCTTTTAAGTAGAATAAGTCTACAGTTAGTTTTACCTCTATATATAAATAATTAAGATTATAATTGTTGTTTTCAAATAAATTCATTAGTTTGTGCATACATATTTCCTACAACCTCAATGCTTCAAACTTTTTGAATCAGACATTGTAATTTACTCCTAAGAATAATCATTCTATTGGTTTCACTTAGATATGAGGAACTAAGGTAACAAGTCTTCGACCTTAAATGGATTTTTAACCACTTAGTTAATGCAAACTATATATACAATTTTTGGCATTTCCTAAAGCTTAACTGCATGCCCACATTTTTTGATTTGGTTCAATATATAAAGTTTAATACGATCATATTTTTAATCTTATGAACCTATCATTTCAATATTACCTTAAATTCTCCTCTACGCTTTTAAGTAGAATAAGTCTACAGTTAGTTTTACCTCTATATATAAATAATTAAGATTATAATTGTTGTTTTCAAATAAATTCATTAGTTTGTGCATACATATTGCCTACAACCTCAATGCCACACTTATTGATTGATAACACTGAAATGGATCCTTCAGAGTTAAATGGGTAAATTGATTGTAATTGATTGATCGGCATATATTTGGATTATGCAAGGCTTACGCCTTAAATTGTTAATCGTTATTAATTGATCGGCATATATCTGGATTATACAAGGCTCATGCCTTAAATTGTTATCGTTATTGTTATCATTTTATCATGAATAGAGACAAAAGTTAAAGTGAACACAGAGAAAACTGTATTCTATATATTGTTGTTTATTCTCACTATTGATTAAGTTTGAACTTTTCCCGGTTACTAACTGTTCATTATTTTACTAAATCTTACTATGTAATATATTGGTAATCCCACGGGGCTAGTGTAGCTCATTCTTTTATTAACCCGTTTTTTTCAGATCAAGAGGGAGCATAAGTAGAGGACCTTTGTTGGAAAACTTTCGGTTCAAATTTTGTAAACTGACTTGTAAATAGCTAGAGAAGGGGAGCATGTTATGTACTGTATATATAAAAATATATATTCGTGGTTCACATTGCATAGTTTTTATTGAAGGAAATCCAATATGCCGTCAGTAATAGACAATGATAAGCTCAAATGACCTACTAGTTGGCACATTTACAACCAAAACAGACCGGAGAACATAGTTATGTAACAATCCACGAGATGTGAAATTGGAAATTTTCACAGATAAACATGTTAAGGTTATTCCTTTATTAGTGGCTCTTCTGGGATCACCAAATAGTGAAGGAATTTTTTTCATAATTAAAGAAAAAACAAGTTGAAGTTAAAAGACATAGTAACCCTTATTTACCATATATTCCATCAGAGTTCAGGCCATTGGGAAAAAAAGGCAAAGCAAAAAGTACCTCAAGGAAACAATTCCAATGCTGGCAATTATGCAAATCAAGTTGGATAATATCTCTAAGATATCTGTCATCAGAAGAAGGGGTACTCTCAGTTCATTGGACATGCATTCCAACTGATCTATACAAATATCATACTTCCGCATTATAGTAGAACAGAAGCGAACACCTGGGTGCTGTATGAATCAGAGAATAGTCTTCAACTGATGGATCTCCACCACCTATTGCGGCATTCCATGGACTGTTGATAGCCATAAAAGAACGGTCCTTCTTGAGGATAGCAAATCTGAAGATGTTGTTGAAGTGGATAATCCTCTCATCAGAACTTTTGTATGAACACAATTCATTCGAAGCATCAGTGTGCTCATCCCACTCATCAAAATCACCTGAAATTGGGAAAAGCATTTACTAACAAGACTAGCTCTAATGAGTAAAGAGAAGAAACATAAATGTAAGTTTTCCTGTCAAGGTGATAGGATCATTGACATAGTAATTTCACAACCCTCATAAAGCATCGGGAAATGTAACAGACTAAGAAACTATATTTTGTGATAAAGTTTACAGTCCACAATAAAATACATGAAAATACCTAGACATGTTAAAATTGACACAATTCCTACACAGAGACTCATCCTAGCAATCAGTTCATAATAATTTTTTGAAACTTAAAAGCAATATAAGACTATATTGATCAAAAGACAATGTAAAGAGATCTCATTGCAAAAGATGTACTAGGAGCACTAGCACAGATCATTCTGCAAGTTGAACATAAATATTTGAAACTTCAGTAAAATGAATGATAATGAATCCTGTCAACGTAAAACTAATCTTCTACTCCTGCATAAATTATAGCTGGTCCAAAACTTAAAACTGACTTTACTCTTTAAACCTTTAACCCATAAAGTTATGATAGTCAGACAACTGACAGTCCACCAAAAAGAAAGGTTAAAGTACCCAACAAAAGATAATAACTCAATGCTTCAGAACTCATTACTTTATGAAATCACGAGGGCAACTGAAAATTTGGTAAAGCATATAAACAAAATCTTAAAAAAAACAGCAGTTAATTCAGCGTAAATAAAACTGTAAGATTTTTCAGGGCCATCTTTAGAATATCTTACTAAAATTCTAGTATCATTTACCTTTGCGTTCCAAACAGTATTTTCCTGCTTCATTCTTGATAGCTCACTTGCTGAACCTAATACCTTTTCATCTTTGTTCTCTAGTTCTACGTACTTGTGTACCAAGCTGATCAAAAAGTGAGGAAAATAACCTCAGTCGTCAACAAAATCTCGATTAAAAACACATGGCCCAGAGAGTTAACTGCCAATTTCAATTAACTGACAGTAGTATGAAGAGAAAGATGGAAACTCTGCTTTGGCTGGTGCACAACAACCTGTACAGCATTAACATAATTAGCAATCAGGTAACACCTATTGTGTAACAAACCAATGTGGCAAACAGATAACAGGGAAACAAAGGTCACCTTTGTACATTCATGGCGTACACATAGCCTGGGATATCGCTTATTTAAAGATAAATAATCCCTCTCTACATCGACCAAACAAAATGGGTAAACCTGCCAAACAACAATAATTTAGAAAATGGAAAATGTTACATATATATAAATCATCTTGATAGATTTCTTTTCCAATATTACTGAGAAAAAGTAAAATATAGGCATTTGAATACACAGTGACCTCAAGTATTGGAAATGAATGGCGTTAATTAACCAAAACATTGACTGCTCTTGGTGCAAATTATTTGCAAACATAATCATTTAAACAAACAATTTCAGAACAAGATGACTCTGCTGACATGAATAGCCAGTTGTGATTTGCACAAAAATCACCAATGTTTATATGATGCCACATATCGAATGTGCAGTACGGAAAGTAATAAAATGGCAAAGAACAATTCTGATGCTTTGGTTTCTCAATCTTAAAACAACAGTGCCAACGTTCAAGGTGATTCAGTAAAAGATTACAACAACGTCCAGGAGAGGGTGAACATATGACAAGAAGAATTTCTATGTGATAAAAACACAGTAAGTCAGTAACACATTGTTTCTCGATCTTAAAAAACAATACCAACATTCAAGGTGATTCAGTTAAAGAGTGCAATGGTGTCCAGGAGGGGGTGAAAATAAAAGGAAAGAAATGACAAGAAGAGTTTCAATGTGATAGAAAAGAGTGATAGTAATATGACCAGAAGAATTTGAAAAGTGATTGGATCAAAGTTTCAGTAAGACCTTATGAACCAAAAAAATGTCTGACCTAAGAATCAGACATTTCTACTGATTTACCAATTAAGCCTACCATCATTGTGTTGTGCGCAGCGGAACCGTAATTAACACAAACGAGATCAAAACAAGTACCACAGCAGGCAAGACACCAAATTTACGTGGTTCGGCAATGTGCCTACGTCCACGGGGCAAGGAGGGGATAGATCTCACTAATAGAGAGAGGGAGTACAAATAGAGATTACAATCACTCAATAATCTCACAAACAACAAATCACTCTTGATTTTTCCTCAACTCTCAATCTCTCTCACAAAATTGCCCAAACTCTAATTGCTCACTTAATCACTCTTCCTAACTGATCTTAGCTCTGATGGATTTCTCAAGCTCTGATAGATCTCCTAAGCTCCGATAGATTGAACGAAGGAAGAGGGGAGGGGATTTATAGGCTTCATCCCCTTCGACCACCCCTCTTGTCAACAATTTCGGCCACCTTATTTATCAACAATTGCGGCTCCAGCGGCTCCTTTGTCAACAAGTGTGTCTGCACCCATTTTCAACAAGTGTGGCAGCCCCCATTGTTGACCAACAATCTCCACCTCGGCGAGGTTTCTTCCAAAATTGAGCCGACACCAACCAAACCAAAATGTTTCACTTGTTGCGTCCAGTACGAAGTAAAACGAAATCACAACAACGGACTCAATCCACAACAAGTCGAGACCCAAATGAGAATGTGACCACTCTCCAAACATCGGTATCAACTCACCAAACCGGCTGCATCATAAAATGACTGCCTACGTATCCTCTTGCCCAATGAATCAAGCCTCACGTAGTTCACCAAATGACCTCCAAAGGCCCTCAACAACGAAGAATGTTCAATAACTCCAAACAATGACCAAATTTTACTCCTGTAACAACTTTGGTCAGCATATCTGCCGGATTGTCCTTCGTGTGGATCTTCTCCAATCTAACATCTCCATCATCCAAGACGTCTCGAACAAAGTAAAATCTGACATCAATGTGCTTTGTTCGTGCATGATATATCTGGTTCTTTGCCAAATAGATAGCTGACATGCTATCACAATTTACCCTGATGATATCTTGTGCAATCCCCAAGTCTTCCAATAATCCCTGCAACCACAAAGCCTCCTTCACAGCTTCAGTCAATGCCATATACTCTGCCTCCGTAGTGGAGAGAGCCACTGTAGACTGAAGTGTACACCTCCAACACACCGGTGCTCCTGCTAATGTAAACACATATCCTGTAGTAGACCGGCGTTTGTCAAGATCCCCAGCATAATCAGAATCCACGTATCCAACACAATCCTGTCCAATCTTTTCATTCTTCTGAAACACCAAACCAACATCCACGGTACTTTTTATATACCGTAGAATCCACTTCACGGCCTCCCAATGACCTTTCCCGGGGTCATGCATGTACCTAGACACCATGCTGACGGCCTGTGACAAATCTGACCCTGTACACACCATTGCATACATCAAGCTACCCACAGCATTGGCATATGAAACTTTGGACATATAGTCACGATCCTCAACTGAAATAGGTGATATCTTAGCTGAAAGTTTAAAGTGGGGAGCTAATGGAGTACTCACCGCCTTAGCATTACTATCAAAGCTGAATTTCTTCAGCATCTTCTGTAAGTAACTCCTCTGAGTTAGCTTCAACCTCCCTCTCACTCTGTCTCTCTCAATCTCCATACCCAATATCTTCTTTGCTTCTCCAAGATCCTTCATCTCAAATTCAGATGACAACTCTTTTTTCAACTTTCTAATAGCTGAAGTATTCCTGGAAGCAATGAGCATATCATCAACATATAACAACAAATAAATATACTCACCATTCTGTAGCTTGTGCATATAAACACACGGGTCATATGGGCTCCTCGTGTACCCTTGGCCAATCATAAAACTGTCGAATCTCTTGTACCATTGTCGCGGTGATTGCTTCAATCCATAAAGAGACTTCTTCAGTTTGCATACCAAATCATCCTTTCCTATATCTTTGAATCCCATCGGTTGTGTCATATAGATCTCCTCTTCTAAGTCTCCATGTAGAAAGGCTGTCTTCACATCCATCTGGACCAAATCCAAATCCAGCTGTGCCACCAATGCTAATAGTATCCTTATCGACGAATGCTTCACGACCGGTGAGAATACTTCGTTGTAATCTATGCCCTCAAGCTGGGCATATCCTTTGGCCACCAATCTGGCTTTGTACCGAATGTCTCCATTAGAAGATCCTTCTTTCTTTGCATATACCCATTTGCATCCAATAGCCTTCTTACCCTTCGGTAGCTTTACAAGTTCCCAAGTGTCATTCTTCTGAAGAGAGTGCATCTCCTCCTCCATACCTTCCCTCCACCTGATTGAATCAGAGCTTGACTCTGCTTCCTTATATGTAGAAGGAACCAAATCATCAACGACCTCTACTGATAAAGCATATGCAATCATCACATCATCATATCTAGCTGGCCGACGAATGATTCTTCTTGGTCTATTAGCTGCAATGGACTCCTGAACATGACCCTGTTCCTGAGTCCCAACCTCCACTGTATCCTCCATCTGCCCATTTGTCATCACGTCTCCTCCCAGTGTCACCTCTGTAGGAGCCTCAATGGATACAATGTCATCTGAAGTGTGTGGGGTCACATCATCCTCCACCTCCTGCGATATCCCACTAGTCTGGCCTTCCTCCACCTGCTGAGGGACTTGAGGCTTCATCATGTGCGCCTCATCAAAAGTGACATCTCTGCTAATGATCATCTTCTTGTCTTGTGGATCCCACAACTTGAAGCCTTTGACTCCATCTCTAAAGCCCACAAAGACTGCTTTCCTTTCCCTCGGATTCAATTTCTCATCATTCACATGATAGTAAGCTGGACATCCAAAAATCCGAATTAAATCATAATCACTAGTTACAGAACCAGACCATACCTCCATAGGAGTCTTCTCATGTATCGCAGTGCACGGCAATCTATTTACGAGATGGCTCGCATAAACCAACGCCTCGGCCCAAAAAGATCTAGCCAATCCACTCTGTGAGAGCATACAACGCACCTTCTCCAGCAAGGTACGGTTCAATCTCTCAGCCACCCTGTTTTATTGCGGTGTCTTCTTAACTGTGAAGTGTCGTCTAATACCGTGATCCCGGCAAAACTGTAGAAATGGATCACTTTTGTACTCACCACCATTATCTGAACGGAGTACCTTCACCTTTCTACCTGTCTGCAGTTCCACTTTCTTCTTCCACTCCACAAATATATCCAGAACCTCATATTTATGCTTCATAGGGTATACCCAATTCCTTCTGGAATAATCATCAATGAAAGTGATAAAGTAATTGGCCCCACCAAGAGATGTGTTCTTGGAAGGACCCCAAACATCAGTATGAACATAATCTAATATACCTTGGGTGTTGTGAATTGCAGTGCCGAACTTCACCTTCGTCTTCTTCCCAAGTATGCAGTGTTCACACAGCTCCATCTTGCAGGTCTTTGCACCCTTCAACAGCCCCTGTTTTGCCAATGACTGCAGGGACTTATCACCAGTGTGTCCCAATCTCATATGCCATAAGCTGGTAGTATCCTCCTCTGTGATAATTAAAGCTGCCAGACCCCATGTTACTGTCTTTCCCTTCAAGTAGTAAAGGTAGTTTTCCCTAACACCTCTCATCACCACCATGGACCCCTTTGTGACCTTCAGAGTTGCATTCTCCAAGATCACCCTATAACCTGCTGCCTCTAAAGTTCCAAGAGAAATGATGTTCTTCGTCAACTGAGGAACAAACCTCACTTCCTTCAGCTCCCTAGTCACCCCGTCACACATCCTGATCCGAACTGTTCCAATACCACCAATAGGACATACATGATCATTACCCATGAGCACGACATCCTCTCTTTCCAACTCTTTAAAGCTAGAGAACCAATCCTTTCTAGGGCAAATGTGGTATGTAGCACCCGAATCCATCATCCACTCCGTAGAGTCGGCATAACACACTGACGGTAATGCAGAGCATGAGTAGCCCGAAGAATCCGAATCTGAATTGTCACCACTAGCTTTGGCAACATTCACCTCTGAAGTTTGTACAGCTTTTCCTTTATTCTTTCCGGCTCTATCCTTCAACTTTGGGCATTCATTCTTCCAATGTCCATCTTCTTTGCAAAAAGCACATTGATTCCTACCAACACTCTTATGGCCACCTCTATGCTTTGATTTTGAGCGATTAAACTGACGACGGTTTGGACTACGGCCTCTTACTGCCAATGCATCTCCTGATGCCTTCTCGGAGGGTTCACTATCACTCTTTCTCAACTCATAATTAACCAATGATGAGGTCACCTCCTTATAACTGACAGTGGTTCTACCATTAATCATTGTAAGGACAAAGGTACTATAATCATCCTCTGGTAATGAACATAATAACAACATCGCTTTATCTTCATCATCTACCATGATATCCACATTGGCCATATCCGATAGCAATTTTGTGAAATTATTAACATGTTCTCTAATTAAAACTCCCCTCTTTATTTTAAATTGGTAAAACCTCTTCTTTAAATGAAGTCTATTCTCAATGATTTTCGTCAAATACTTATCATTGAGTGTTTCCCACAATCGTTTCGCCGATGTTTCATTCATTACATCATAAATCAAATCCGGCGTCAAACATGATCTAATAACCCCACATGCTCTACTATTTATTTTCTTCCAAACCTTATCCTCCATATCATCAGGTTTCTCTAGTAATTCAAGAGTCTCCTCTAAATTTTGGGCATCTAATGCATCTATCACTTGACACCTCCACAAACCAAAATTTATCTTGCCATCAAATTTTTGAACATCAATTTTTGTATTATTAATGCTCAACCCTTGTATCGCCTTAGTCAAGGACGATCCCGATGTACTCGATTCGGTCATTTTCAATCTAATCTCCAAATTACACAACTACAACTTGAATTGAAAAAGAGCAAAATTAGGGTTTGTACCTCCAAATGAGAATCCACACCGAATCCTCCAATTGATTTCTCCACCACTCCTTGGAAGATAAAATCCCTTGTAAAAACCCTAGCTTTCTCCTCCAATCCTCCAAATTGAACCCCAAGCCAACCCGGAGCTCTGATACCACTTGTTGTGCGCAGCGGAACCAATTAACACAAACGAGATCAAAACAAGTACCACAGCAGGCAAGACACCAAATTTACGTGGTTCGGCAATGTGCCTACGTCCACGGGGCAAGGAGGGGGATAAATGAGGTGGCCGAAATTGTTGACAAGAGGGGTGGTCGAAGGGGATGAAGCCTATAAATCCCCTCAGCAGGTGGAGGAAGGCCAGACTAGCAGGATATCGCAGGAGGTGGAGGATGATGTGACCCCACACACTTCAGATGACATTGTATCCATTGAGGCTCCTACAGAGGTGACACTGGGAGGAGACGTGATGACAAATGGGCAGATGGAGGATACAGTGGAGGTTGGGACTCAGGAACAGGGTCATGTTCAGGAGTCCATTGCAGCTAATAGACCAAGAAGAATCATTCGTCGGCCAGCTAGATATGATGATGTGATGATTGCATATGCTTAACACATTGATCATGAGGTCTCCAAAACTTTACCTTGCATATATATTCTTTCTTCTTTTCTTTAACAGGTGAATGATGCCTTCAGAATAACAGAACAATTAGTCAGTTAAGAAAGCTGCAACCAAATGAAGCATCAGCCTATAAATAACAGAATCAGGATGCAAAGAAATATTGAGGTACACCTATATACAGTCTCTCAACGTGGGGAAGCTTGATGAGGTGAAATCTGGCAAGGTGAGGCCCGATATGGCAAGGCATTACGAAAGTTCTCTCATCCTTTAACAAAGAAGGGCCCCGATGATCTCTCGTAGATCGTGATAGAGACCGCTCTCGCCTATCATTTGATGCACGTTGATGTTCTCTTTCTCGTTCTCTCTCTTTCTCACGTATTAACCCTGCAGCGCTCCTCATCCCTTTCAAGTTCTCGACGGTAAGCACTTTTATCGTTCCTCCTCTCATCAGCAATTGAGATACCCAGACTAGGATGGACACGTGACATTTCTTGATATTCAAATTCAAGTGATTGACCATAAAGGCCTTTCCCTGTACTATTTTCCTGGCCAGGGTGCAAACCCACGCCATACTGGTCATCGCCATTTCTCCTTGTAGCTCCCCATAGAATGGAAGCTGCATGTTGGCCATCATAAGGAGCGTTTACAATAATAGGTGAAGTGTGGGGATCTGCATCCATTCTTCCGCCATATGAACTATAATCTTGGGACCAATGATGAACGTGAGCAGCCCTTGCTGCAAGATACTCAACTTGTATGCAAAAATTTATGTTCTACTTGGTGCAAAAACAGATGAGAATGCAATGTAAAACAAATACAGCCCTACAATCCCTATTATTCTCAGGTCTGACACAAACTAATGTGAACCTAAGGTGCATACTGATCCAGAGCAAAGCACAATTCACGCTAAATTATGTCACTGCAGAACATCTACAAACCTGGATTTAGTTATTATTGAAGTAAATGTTTGACCCTTGTAACCAACAAAAGGAAGCATACATAAAATGCCTTGAGAGAAACACATCTCATATCAGAACCAGACTGCAATGACTGAGCCTTCAATATCTGTTGCTGTCGAAGTAGTGATGCCTCGTAAAAAATTTTCTAAAAGGCATTAATAATGAGGCTGTATAAAAACTTTTTAGAAACAGAAAAAAGAAAATTAACAAAAAAAGAACTGCAATACCTGGTCCATGTGGTCATGCATCTCAGGCTTGCATTGAGGAGCAAGATATAAAAGGAAAGATGTGAGATTACAGAATCAAACATAAGCAACAAGAGGACAACAGACTGACTAAAAGAATATACCTGATGTTGCTGGCTAGTAGAAACAGAATCTGCATATCGCCTAGCTGGATCATTTCGTGATCCCCTCCCCATATAAGCAGCTTGATCACCATATTGTCTCCTCTCTAAAGAAGAATAATCAGAACTCTTTACTTCAGAAAAGGGATCACTTTTCTGAAGATAGCCATGACCTGATGCTGACGCTTAATCATCAGTGTTCATTCCGAAGTTGGAGCCTACAGCTGCAGATGAGAGCTTTGACAAGTCCTGTAAGGCTGAAGGATATCGACCCTGGAGGCCAGATGAAGCAGCCTCCTTACCTCCAACTCCGACCTGCACCAAGAAAAAGATTTGACTAAGCCATTGATCTATGCTAGAAGCATAGGACCACCAGAAACATATCGTTCCAACCGGTTCATTAGTGCTGCTTAATAATAGGGATATACTGTCTTTCTAATTAGGCCAGTGCTGTTTATGTTTTCCTACATTGCCACATTTTTAGAACACTAGAATGGAACTGTATCAAAAGTAAAGATAATGTATTCTTCTATAGTGAATACATTCATCTGTGAAGCTCAATAGAGCATAGGGAATCACTTCCCTTAGATTATAATCAGAGAACTACCAACATAGTTTTCACATCCACCTTCGGAAGGTCATGCCAAACAAAACAATTACAGCTAGCCAACTTTGCTTCGTGTTATAAGCAGCAATAAGGATAACCTTTGATTGGAGAAAATGATCAACAGTTAAAATCAATGTTTAAAAAAGAGGAAGCACAAGGCGAAGCGCTAGACCTTTTAGCGAAGCAAGGCATAAGTTTCAAAGCGTGAGGCATAAGCTCATGAGTTTAATAAGCACTTCAGTTTAAAATCTGTAAAAATGATGAATATATAATATTAGAAAAATGTATATCCTTGTCATATGAGGGGGTTCTCTCATATGACAATGATGCAGCTTAATCTCAACAAATAATAAATGAGAGAAAAACTTCCCAACCACCCTTGATTGAGATTGTGCCACATCATTGTATACATGAGAATTCCCTCATATGACATATGATACTCATTACGCTCATATAATATACAGTGATATAGTAATTTACAAATAGATATATTCATGACCTGATTAGTAAATAAGAATTAATTATGTGAAGTATAGACGCAAATTATAATAAACTAGGCTACATGCATAACATATATATCTTACTTATACTCACTCGGTAGTCGGTCATATTGAAGGTACACGGGGGCATTTAAATGCTAGTTAAAAATCCATTTATATTCTCCTATCTCGTCTAAGGTGTGCGCTTCAAAAGAGAAGCGCTTTATACAATTCAGTTATGATTTTAACGATGAGGCATAAGCTTCAAGGAATAAATAGCTTCAATCTTGAGTTTTGAAGTGTTTACCCTTCAAAAAGTTTTGAAGCATGTTGCAAAAAAGCTTTTTGGAATATTGGTTAAAATACTTGGAAACATATAATAGAACCAAAACATGAGCTTCTTTCATAATTTCCCCGGGGCCATACATGCACTTGGAGAATTACATGAAACCAATCTGACTCATAACGAAAGATGTTGCTTTACTAGTTTTCCACCATGCGAGCACAGGACTTGATATTAAAATGTTGTACATTGTTAAGGTTTCAATTTTATTGTAGCTATGAGAAGATATAAAAAAATGCATAAAACTTAATAGAAAAATTAATAAGATAAAATATACTATTTTTTATTAGTACCTAACTCCAAGCCTCTTAGACGTCTACCCATTTAATTTCCCTCTCATCAATAACTAATTTTTATTTGTTATTAGGTGATAATCATATCAATAATAGAGAATGCAATAATTTAATGAATAATAGCGAATATGGACAGTTGTGGTTATTGTTCTAGTAATATAGTATAGATGTTACATAGAAAAGGAATAGACGAAGTAATTAATAGTTGAGAATAAAAGTTGGAATGTTGCAATAAATGGAAGTTGAAGACATACAAAAAATAAGTTTTAACTTTTTTTCCAAAATATTATTTTCATGCTAGTTTTCATGTTATTGTCTTTTAAGCAATCAGTATCACTGCTATGTCGCTGTGATGCTATGGGAATTTCTTAATAACTGTAAACACATTTTAATGAAAGATAGCCTTTATGTCTATTCATTAGTTTAACTAAATATTCTTAACTCCAGAAAGAAAAAAAATGTGGCAGTGATCATTAATTCAAACATAACACATACACAACTAGAAAATCAGGTTTAAAAAAATCAGATACAGAACTAAAACCCTTACAAACAATCAGACCCATCTAATTGTTGATTCAACATAACAGTTCCAACAAGGGAAAAAAAGTAGGGAAATAAACAATAAAGGAAAAGAAAAAATTGATTACGAGAAAATGGGCAGCAAGCATCATAGACCTGCTTGGATTCACTGAAGAAATTGAACAAAGAGCAAGTGAATGCAACAACTCATCACACTCAATTGCAAGGAGGAAAAAAAAAGTTAAGCGAAGAGGACAGAGAAGAGAATATTTGAAGGTAATACAGAGAAGAAAAAATGTGGAAGCGTTTTGAGTTAAATTGATGGAAGTAAAGATTAGATATAAATTAGGGAAGTTTTCTTGACAAAATATTAATTAGGAAAGTTAAAAGGTTGAAAATCTACAAATCTGCCAAGTGCAAACGACACAACCAGAGGCTCTCGTTTTAGTAATATATATAGAAATAGATAGATAGATAGATAGATATAGATGGTAGAGTTGAAAATTCAAGAATCTGAAATTTTTCAAGGGAATCCATATCCAAAGGAAAAATATTTCTTTAACTTAATTAAGAAACGGCCCCTGAAGACTGCAGCAAAAACTTGAGTATATCCACAACGGTGATTGTCCAAACAACACTCTGATAGAGTAAGATAAGGCCCTTTGATTCATGAAATGTTTACCAGTAGCCAAGAAGATATTAAAAATATAAAGAGGGAAGGAGGAAAATGTGAAATTGCAAAGAACAACTTGTATTTGTTGAATACGTAAGAGGAAAGCACAAAGAACATGCATAGCTTTACAACATCCTAAATTTTAAGCAGAGACAGATGATAAAAAGACAAAAAGAACCATCTGAAAGATAGAATTAAGAAGAAAGGAAAATTAAGGGAAATAACCATTTTTGGTGTTTAATGATTCATGCAACTAAGGAACCTTGGAGCATTTGTTCAGGCAGATGGTACTTTGTGTTTTGATCAATGATCAGAACCGTCCTAGATGCAAATTATTCTTTTTGTCAGTTGAAGAAATGGCTGACTGCTCATATTGATACTTTAAGTTAAAGTATCCTCACATTCTAATTCTTGAGTTTGGTCAGTGGTCATAAATATGTTATCATCTTTCATTAGCTTCCTCAAAAAGAAATATGTACCAGTGATAGGTAGGTAATAAAGATCAAACAACCAAAAACCTATTGTCATAAAATTAATATTTTCATTAGGTTAATTCTCTAATAAATATTTCCTCCACTGGGTAAGCCTCACATTTCTCAGATTACTTTCATCTATGTTACCTGGGTACTTCTAAGCTGAAGTCACACCTGTACCTGACAAGTACCCATGCTGGTACCCAACCAAACTCCTTGGACACTCCTTGCATGAATACATACATTTATTCGGCCATGTATCAATTATACAGTACATGTTTTAATTTAAAACATTGTCATACATTTTTTTTACATATATCCTACACTGCACACCCACTTCTTGAAACACATTGAACGTAGGTCAGATTCTAAATTATGATTTTAAAGGGATGTTTGGATGTCTAGTCCAAAAACTAGTGATTTTCCAATTTATAATCCACATCATAAAAAAACATAAAACTGTTATAGGCCTTTAATAATCATCATTGTTCTCAATTAAATTATTAATTCCAATATATAATACATGTGTATATAAATATTTATATAGCCATGTCACTGTACCTTACATTTATAAATTATAAATTTATCGTGTCCCATATCCATATCCTTACCCATACCGGCACCTGTACCCATGCATAGACTTTCACTTATACAATACCAGAGTAAAGAAGATCTTCATAGTCGTTATTAAAGTGTTTTCTTCACTTACTATCACTTCAGTTGTCAAGCATATATCTATTACTATTATGTAACAAAAGTTGGGTTCTGATCTATCTACTCCTATGTGTCACAATTTCAACAAATTCCACAAATGTCCCATAACTTACAATGCTCTTTTTCTACCATGAAAAAGATAAACTTGGAAAACTCAAATAAACGGAAGAAATGTCAACTGTCAAGAAAGTAGAAAGTGTTTCCTCCACATTATTGCCAAGGAGAAATTTTTAAAATAGACCATTTTAAAAAATCGATTAGCAAAATCAACCCAAAAATACTTTAATTAGCAAAATCGACTATTTTTTAGCCACGTCAGCAAAGTTAGTTGAAAGTTGGTCGGTCTTGCAAAATTTTATATTTGAAACACACCGGACTACTAGTCCCGTGTAATTAGTTGTAATTAGTTAAATTAGTTTAAGAATAGCTTCATCTCATAAAAAACCTAAAGCAGCACACCACCCATTTCCCTTGTGGGGCCCAGACACAACCATTTAGAAGACTCGCTGATTCAATCCCTTACCCACTAACCTGGGACCCGAAAGAAATGAAATTTTAGAATCCCATAGACTTGTTGGTCCATCAAAGCTACGTAACTTTTTTTTAGAAAGTATACATGGGACTTTTAGTCCTGTGTAATTAGGGAAGACAGCTAATTACATGGGACTATAAGTCACGTACATTTCCAAACATTTACTGTTGCAAAACCGATGAACTTCCAATCAGTTTTGCTGATGTGGCTAAAAACAGTCAACTTTGCTAATTAAATTGCTTTGGGTTGATTTTGGTAACTAAAATTTGAAAATGATCTATTTCAAAAATTTCTTCTTTCTACAAGCATACAGCAGTTGCCTTTTGTTTCTAGCCATGTGTTAGTCCGTTTCACTCGCAACCCCGGTCTGTTCGCAAGGCATGTGTTTAACTGCCAGCTGCACGGCTATACATAGG